TACCCAGATTCGGGCCCTCTCGATGGAGGTAAAACCCTACTCCTGCTTGATTGATATTGATGATATGGGTAGTACAAGAGTGGATCTACCACAAGATCAAGGAGGCTAAACCCTAGAAGCTAGCCTATGGTATGATTGTTGTTGTTGATGTGTCCTATGGACTAAAACCCTCCAGTTTATATAGACACCGGAGAGGGCTAGGGTTACACAGAGTCAGTTACAATGGTAGGAGATCTACATATCCGTATTGCCAAGCTTTCCTTCCACGCCAAGGAAAGTCCCATCCGGACACGGGACGAAGTCTTCAATCTTGTATCTTCATAGTCTTGGAGTCCGGCCGATGATGATAGTTTGGCTATCCGGACACCCCCTAGTCCAGGACTCCCTCACCGGCCCAGGTGAGGCGGGCGGTGAAGACCGCGCAGGCGAGGCGGGAGGCGTGTGAGGCCCAGATCCAACCGGTCGCGCGGGCGACGTAGCAGCCGGGCCAGGAGAGGCCGAAGGGGCGGCCTCGATACGTGCGCCCGCTGCATGGCCCATGCAGTGATCGACGTGACGATCAGCAGAAGCAAGTCTGGGCATCTCCTGTTCGGCAAGGAGCTCCAGGCGAGCGCCACGCCCCGTTCCTGCACCGTGGTTAGGTAATAGCACAGGCGAATATGCAACATCCTCAAGTTGATCAGGCAAAACACAAGAGATATTAGTGGGTGATGACAACGTTGGGGAAGATGGCATATTCGAAAAAGGAAACAAATTTTCATCAAACACGACATCACGGGAGATATAGACTCTATTTGTTGGAACATGGAGACATTTGTAGCCTTTGTGAAGAGCACTATACCCAAGAAAGACGCACTTTTTGGAGCAAAACTCAAGCTTGCGACTGTTGTAGGGCCGAAGGTGCGTCCAACAAGCACAGCCAAAAACCTTGAGGAAAGTATAGTCATGAAGTTCATTAAACAACAGTTCAAGTGGTGTCTTCATTTTTAATACTCGAGTAGGAGTTCGATTAATCAAGAAACAAACAGTGGTAAAGGCATCACTCCAAAACTGGAACGGCACAGAGGCATGAGCAAGAAGTGTAAGGCCAGCTTCAACTATGTGACGGTGCTTGCGCTCAACCGCACCATTCTGCTGATGTGTATGTGGGCGAGAAACACGATGAGATATCCCAAGCTTATTAAAGAAAGAATTGAGGTTGCGGTATTCAACCCCCCCAATCAGACTGAACATGAATGATCTTATGTTGTAGGAGTCTCTCAACATGCAATTGAAATTGTAAGAACACATTAAACACATCAGCTTTGCTTTTGAGAAGATAAAGCCACGTAAAGCGACTGTAGGCATCAATGAAACTGACATAATATTTATGACCACTGACAGATGTTTGGGCAGGGCCCCATACGTCTGAAAACACAAGCTCTAATGGAGTAGTAACAACTCGAGATGAAGACACAAACGGTAACTGATGACTTTTTCCCTGTTGACAAGCATCACAAACTGACAAATTTTTGGAACTAGACGACGTAGGAAGTTCATGTCGATGCAAAACATGACTAACTATGGGGGACGCAGGATGTCCAAGCCGGGCATGCCAATGAGACGGCGACGTGCGAACGGCGGTGAAGGCCTCCGGAAGAGATGGCGCCTCCAACGCATACAAGCCCTGATGGATGCGACCTCTAAGCAGAACCTCCCGTGTGGCTCGATCCTTAACGAAGAGATGAAACGGAAGAAATTCAAAAAAGACATCATTATCATAAGTAAACTTATGAACAGATAGTAATGGGCGAGTGACATGTGGAACTTGAAGGACATTACGAAGGCGAAGACGACAAGAGGAACTAGACAAGAGGGAGGCCTGACCAACATGAGTAATGGGCATACCTGAACCATCAGCGGTGCGGACCTTGTCATGGCCACGGTAGGGCTCCTGCGCCTGGAGATGACCAGCCTCATTGGTCATGTGCTCCGTGGCACCCATGTCGAAGTACCAGGCGCAATCGATCGGATACGACGGGGTGTACCCACCTCCGCCAGGATGGGTACCGTCGAGATGGGCAGCAGAACTCTGTTCAGCGATGGCGGCTTGCTTCTCGTTGCCGCGCCCGTCGTTGCCGATGCCAAGAAAATCCCGTTTGAAGCGACGGTGGCATTTGGAGGCATAGTGCCCGTGGATGCCACATAGCTGGCAGTCGATGTTGGGCCGACCGCGGCGATCCATGGTGACAGGAGGGCCACGGGGCTGCTGCAGTGAAGGAGGCTGGCGACCACCAGCTCCCATGTTCGGGCCAGCGGGAGGGCGAGGTTGGCGATGGCCACCATTGGCAACACCACGATATGCAGCATGTGCCTGAGGATCGTTCAGCTGCATCGCGGCATGGCGGGCGTCAATGCGTTTCTCGGTGGAGAGGAGGCGCGCATACAAGTCCCGGGAGGACAGAGGCGTCTCACGCCCCCGCACCGCTTCAACCAGATTGTCGTAGTCTTGGTCAAGACCCCGAAGAACAAAGTCAGTGAACTCCGTATCACGAAGCGGCTCCCCGATCGCGGACAGGGTGTCGGCGACCGTCTTGATCTTGTTGAAGTAGACATGCGTGGAGGAGTCGAGCTTCTTGCACTCGAGGAGCTGCTGACGAAGGGCCGACGCGCGAGCCGAGGAGTTAGCCGAGAAGCTATCCGCCATTGTCGCCCAGATGTCGAGGGACGTTGCGGTGAACACCACGAGCCCATCGACTCCTTCCGTCAGGGATGACTGAAGCGCGGACAGGATGGCCTGGTCCTGTGCGACCCAGGCTCGGTACGTCGGATTCTCGGCGGAGACACGGGCTCCGGCAGCCGTGACCGCAGGGATGAGGCGGGGCGGGCACGGCAAGCTCCCATCGACGTAGCCTTCAAGATGACGGCTGCATAGGAGCGGTAGGATCTGCGCCCGGCAATACAGGTAGTTGTCTTGCGTGAGACGCACCGTGATCAGGTGCGTAAGCTGGTAGGGACCATGACCCGGGCCGTCGGCAACCGGGGATCCCGCAGGAGCGACGAAGTTAGCCACTGTGTCGTGGACGGGCCGCGTCGCGATCTCAGGGAGGCCGAGAGACGACGAGGCAGAGGGCGCCGAGGGGGCCGGGGTTGGCGCCGCGCCAATCGTCACCTGCGACGCCGATGCAAAGGATGGCATCGGAGGGAAGAACCCGGGAGCAAACTGTGAGGAGCCAAGGTACAGCGGGCGCGACGTGGTTGACGCGGCCATGTGGCTAGTGGTGCTCGCGGCGAGGATCGCGGCAAGCTGGGGCGGGATGAAGGGTGGCAGAGAGGGCAGCGGAAGAGGATAAGGTGGCGGCGGAGGAGCTCATGGCGGCGGCGATCTTGGTGGCGGCGCGGCGACAGAGAGGGGCGGCGGCGGCACCAAGGACAGGGAGCGGCGGCTAGGGTTTTGCGAAACCTAGTCTGATACCATGTTAGACTTGTGATTTGGTGGAAACTAGCTCAACGCATCTGATGCGTGGCCTATCACTTTATATAAGGTACCAAGAGGTACAATACAGATACAAATACAGTTGTCGTATAATATACAGTCTAACAGGGGCATCTCATTCTCATCTACGCCCACCACGATCGCACCTCCTTAATTGCCGTCTTCTTCAACAATGCCCTCGTCTTGTGCCGCCATCAACCTCGTTCGTCCGCCGGCGTAGGTAGACCAAAAAGTTTTCATCTTCCATGCTCGCCGGCGGCACTCCACTCATGCACCTTCCATGGACACATTCGTTCGTGACGCTCAGGATCAGCTCCAACTTAGCCATGCGTTAGTTGCCAGTGCCACACCCACAACAGCATGCAGATTGCGGTTGCCGTTGACTTCCGCGTCCGCGACAAGGTTGCAATGTGGCCGGGGACTCGACCAGTGGCGGCAAACGAATCCCACCTCCGCCAAGCCCCATTGTCACAGCTGACCACTCCACGACCGGTTTTTCCACGACCAGTTTTCCCCTTTCCCACGGAATGCATGCGCGCCACCCGTTTGATCGAATGCCACATAAGTACGTACCTATAGATGTATAATCTTTATTAGAGTCCAGTTGACAACAAACAAAAAATAGATTGAATTCTCACGCCTAGCTAGTTGGATAGATAAGATGAATGCCTACGGCGACAATGCGCACGACATGCCCACGGTTGTCGCCCAGAGGCCATGCCCCGTGTGGTGGCCTCGGCGCCATGAACCACCACAACCATGAGGAGATAGAGATGCCGAAAGTGAAAGTTTCCCGCCTGATGAACGAGCAGGAGACGATGCCACAATGGCAGAGACAAGGGGGACCAGCAAGGGCCTTCCCCCCCCCCCCTAATGCCACTTGTTTAAGGCTAATACTAGTGTAAGCACAAATTTTTTTGCTGTTAAAACAGAGTATTTTAATGGACTGGCCCTCCCCAACTAGGTTTAGCAACGTTTGGCCCTCCCCATTGGATTTTCCTGGCTCCGCCACTGCGATGCCATGCCCCCTTCCAACAAAGACAGACGACGGCAACATGGGCTCGGGAGCCAGAACGATGAGATGCGAGGATGAGTCTGTGATGGAGACGAATGTGAGCTTTTTGAAATACATGAAAATTTTCAAACTCAATTTTTGTAAAGGTCAACGTCATGTCAGCGGACTTTTTGAAAAGATAGGGTTTTTTAATTCATATTTTTCTAAAGTTAACCGAGCGAGCAAATTTTTTTTTTTGAGGTGAGAGCGAGCAAATAAGGCGTCCCCGTGAGCAAGAGCGTGTGAGCATGCCTACCGTTGCTTTTTTTTTTGGAGTAAATGCCTACCGTTGCTGGGCCGGCCCGTAGCGACGGGGCGTGAGGGCCAGCGCTAGGTGGTTGTCTTCGGCCCGGGCCGTGTCCGGACTGTCCCGTCCGTGTATAAGGCCGAGCCGCACCGATGGTCTGCATCGAACTGGAAGCAGAACGATTCCGCCGCTCTCCGCCGGCGTGCCCACCCAGGGCCTTCTCAATGGGAATCTACGCCGCCGTGCTCAGGACGAAGCAGCGGCTGCGGGAACTCTTCTGTGCAAGTACGCCCTATCTTCTTCTTTCTCTCAAGTATTCTCAATCGAGCACGCCCGGCTTCTATCCCCCGCCACCAAATCGACCGTCTTCCCTGGCTCCGACCTGTCGTGAATTTGGGCCTAGAGCTGAACTATTTCCCCCATCGGCCAAGTTCAGATATTGCAAGGAACCAAATTCAGCAGATTCGTGATTTTGTTTGCGAGGAACCAACTTCTTGTAATTTTATATGTGGGTTTTTTTTGGGCAAAAGAGATGCTCTCCCTCTCCGATTTCATATAAAGAAACCAAGGTCTAGCAGTAACAAGGTTCAGGCATTACACAGCGCTGCAAATCGGCCAGCCTAGATTGTGCAAAAGACTAAGGTCTCATTTATGAAGTCTCACTTCAGCTTTGAAGATTCTGATAAATGCCGCAAGTACAACTAAGCTAGTACTGCAAGAGCTGCTCAAATAAACAATTTCAGTGTATCACCGCTTAATAATTTGATTAAGAAAAATCACCGTTTCATAACCTCACTGATTGTTTTTGCTTTCCTGATCATGCACTAAAATATGCATACTGCTCTGCTCTGTTGCAAGATTCTAATGTACTACTTATAAGGCCCGTTTCATTGCAGATAGTCAATCAGGGTCTTCCGAAGATGCGTTTGAGAAACTCCCCGTGGTATGCTTCCCTTCCCTGCTAGTCAAGAGAATTGTAGTTACAAGTAAACTATCACCATGGTATGGTATCTGCTAGCACAGTATGCATTGGCTAACACATGCATACTACACGCCTAATTATAATATATTCATCAACGGAGACTGGTTTTCACCTTGCCAATGTCTCAACTTGTTGTCTCTGGCATGTTTCCGTAAGAAATCAGGCGTTGTTGTTACGTACGCATCGTACTTCTGTGACAAAGGTTTCATAGAAATAACCCAGTTGATTCACTCTCTTCGTCGAAATTGCAGATCTTTTTTTTTTGAATTTTTTTTTAATGCAGATCTTGATGCAGAGTAAATGAGCTACTAGTAATTAACAAGCGAGATATACTTTTGTGATTTTGTTGTTTATTCGAAATAAATGAGGTCAGCCTAACTTTTGAGCTTAATTTTCAACCTTGGTTCTGCAGGACGTCATGCACCATATATATTCTCTCCTGCCACTGCGAGATGCTGCTCGTGCCGCCTGCGTCTCCCATGGATTTCTGCTTTTCTGGAGATGCTATTCCAACCTTACATTCAACGTGTCAACACTTGGGTTGGCTCGCAAGAAATCCGAGGATTGGGGAATCTTTCTCATCGATATAGTTGACTGCATTCTTAGGAACCATTCTGGGAATGGGGTGGAGACACTCGATCTGTGCCTCCTATCTTGCGAAAATATTGACCCTTCCTACCTGGACAGATGGCTGCAGATTGCTGTTCGTTTGGGGATCAAAGAACTTAAGTTGGAGATGACTAACTTCATGAAGAAAAAGTACAGCTTCCCATGTTCGGTTCTGTCTGATGATGCAGCTGCAAGTTCGATTCGGTCTCTTTGCCTCAGCGCTTGCGTCTTTCGTCCCACAACAACACTTGGCTGCTTGAGAAGACTGAACGCATTATCCCTGTTTTCTGTCCAGATTACTGATGAGGGATTAGGGCACTTGCTCTCGAAATCTTTCGCCTTGCAGCAGTTATTTATCTTCGGATGCAATGCGATAACATGCGTGAAGATACCTTCCATGCTGCAGCAACTCAAGCTCCTCACTATTAAATTGTGTGAGAAGCTGCAGGTGGTAGAGATCAATGCTCCAAGGCTCTCCTCTTTTCACTTTGATGGAGCGCTAGTAAAAATCTCGGTTGTGGATCCTTCACCGCTTAGGGATGTCTATTTTTCATCTCCCCGTCAGTCCCGCATGCTGTCTTATGCTCGTACGAGGCTTCCATCCATCACACGAAATGTTAGGTGCCTGACCCTGGTGTCTTCTGATGAGGTATGCATTGGGTTTTTACAGGTTATTCTGTATAAACATATAAAGTGGATGGTTATGATACAATAGTTTCCATCTGAACAGTCTAAACTCTTTAATCCAATTTCATAATTCTTCATACAATGGTTTGGAATTTCTTGACCCGTTCTATGCTTATTGTCTCATAATTACTCCCAAGTCACTGTATAACTGAGAATCATCGTTCTTGAATAAATTTTTACGTATTATTTCAGTATTTCTTCTTTCGAAAAAATCATGGTATTAATCCTTGAGATGTGCACATCATCTGAAATTATCAACAACATTTTCTGATTTTAGGTCTAACTGTACAGTGCTTGGTATAAGGGCTTATATATTTTGTGCTTTTGTAATATTTTAAATTTAATATAAATTATCCTTTCATATAAGAGATGTCACATTTACATGTTTCAATGCGACACTCCAAGTTTCAAAGTAAGAATAAATGTTCAAATAAGAATAAATGTTTAAGACCTTGAGAGTTTTCGTGCACCTTAACAATATTCAAGGTAAGAATAAATGTTCAAATAAGAAACTAATAAGTGGCAAGAGAACTGTTTTCTGTTTTTATTTTATGTTGGTCTTAACACACTTTACATGCCAGTTGCTAATGAAATTATCAGATCGGCAGGTATATAGTGAATAATGATTTGAATGTATATAACACATGTATATTGAAAGGCATGATTTGTCTATGGACTTGTCGTTTTTCAGGATGTCAACATCCCAATGCTGCACTCCAAGTTTCCCCGTCTCAAGAAGTTGGAAATTTACATCAAAAGACCACAAGCTGTTCTGTCTTTGATTTCCTTTCTTGATGCTTCTCCGGCCTTGGATTCATTCATCCTGCGCGTAAGCCACATCTTTTAGAGATAACATTACATTTATCAATAAACAATGTTGATTGTACGTACATATGCATATCCAGGTAGATGCGAATGTCTTGAGGCCTGATTCTGTTGTTGGAGGCGAGAATGCCGCTGATGATCCAAGGTGGAAGCCAGAGTGCCGACATGATTGTCTCAGACAGGTGACCATCATAGGGTTTTGTTCGGAAAAAAATCTGGTTCAGTTTGTGATCTATATCGTTGAGAACACTCCTCGGCTTGAGTCCATCACACTAGACACAACCTTGTGGTCTGGTAGGAGGTGTGATATTAATGGCAAATCAAGAAAGATGAAAAGGAGTTGCGACAGGATGACCGAGGGTTGTATCGCCGAGGCTCACAGAGCTGTTAAGGTTGCCAACAGATACATTGCAGGGAGAGTTCCCTCGGGTGTTAGGTTCCAGGTCCTGGAGCCGTGTAGCCAGTGCCACGCGCGTACTCGCAGCGGGTGGTACTAGTGTGGTTTGTCTTAAGCACCTTGACCGGGTCCAACCCGTTAGTAGAACTTTTGTTTTCTTTCCTAATTTATTTGCATGCAAGACATTCCATTTATGAAACAACATGAAGCATTTCCTTTTATTGCTTTTTTCTCTCATACCTTTCCACATAAGAGATTTAGATCACGTATTTGCGAGTATATAGTACATAAAAAATAATATGTATGGTGCCCACACATTTTCGTGGACATATATCCATAAAACAAGAAAGAATCCCGCCAATTCCTTTTGAATTGCCCGTATGTGATTTTTTGGTAGGAGTTCATCCCGCATCTGCCAGATCTAAATTGAAGAAGAGGGTCAATATATGTGTATGAATGAAACTCAACACAAATGATGGTAATAAAATAAAATTGTGAATATTTTTGCTTACGCACTTCATATTGTTTTTCAGAGTAGCCCCGCTTATTAGAGGCCGTCGCATTGTAGATGAACTCGCAAACGTAGTATCCACAGTAATCATTCCCGGCTTCCTGCCACAAGCACTTTACGAGAAATAGAGGTCAATCAAACTGATAAGCAAGCATGCTAAATGGTATTGATAAAACTAGCTAGAATCAATGGGAGATGCGCGGAACTAGGTAGTAGTACTTACTTTCGGGTGTTTAAATCGCAGCTCGCTCGGCAGTCACGGAGTAATTACGGTGAACTCTTTCCGAACCCTGCCAGACAAAGAAAAATAATTACTTGATATCAGGAAATGAACAAAATTCCCGATATGGTGCGATAATGATCGATTGAACTTACTTCTGGAGCATTCGAGTCATGTCCGCATAGTCCTCGGGATCTTTTCGTCTCGAGTCTAAGACGGTTAGTTCTCCCCGCACAAGCTTAATCTCTAGGAGAATAAAGTGGAAGCTGCGCACGCATGCATAACTCATCAGTTACATTACTATAACCTCGAGTAATAAGGGAAACCGAATATGCACAAGACAGTAACACTCACTTGAAGTTGTAAGGAAAGAGTATTTTATCTTTGCTTTGATTTTTGAGCAACGATTGTAGCAAGTTGTCCTTGGTTTCTGAGACATTGTGTTTAACCGTCCATTCATGTATGACATTTGGGTTAATGAACCCAATGTCATAGATTTGTGCTTTTTCGCATTCGACGATCTTCAGTCTGCATAATATAGTGAGGATAATTATATATACATGCAATGAAAGAGCTGAGCTATATATAGAGACTTAACGACAGAAGTAATACTTACAGACAGTAGCAAGCCATGAGTGATTTGTCGAGGGCCTTTTGATTGTAGAACTGGAAAAACTCGTCAAAATCAACAGTAATCAGATCTTGTCTAGTGAAGTCGTGCTCCTCTTTAATTCTCATCATCAAAGCATCCTTTTCCAGACTTGCTGCATGTTTCCATGTATCATTCATGGAATCTTTGCATCATCGTTGTTAGAGGAGGACTTCCATCTTTGACGAGACGCTTCCCATACTGGTATCTGAATTGGTCCACCTCCATTATATCGAACACTACATCATCGCCCAGGTAATCAGCAGGATTGGTACTGGGCACCATCCCCGGCAGATTTG